CATTTATTCATTTATTCATTTATTCATTTATTCATTTATTCATTTATTCATTTATTCATTTATTTATTTAATTATATACATTTTCAACTGTTAGTCTCGAACACCTTATAAGCAAAAAAAAGTAATGTAATCGAATGTATGAAGACCAGAAAGTGTGGTCTTTTGTATGGTCGCGGTCTCCTTTCGTTGTATAGAAACTGTTTGAATGGGTTTCGTAAATGACACGAAGACGTTTTCAATGAGAGGACTCAGTTCTAATAAACAAATACAACTTGGGGTTGCAACGTTTCACGTGACCAGCGAGACGGAGTAGTTCGCAGACATCGGACATTGTGACCAAATGGGCCAATAATCCAGTTGGGTTTGCACTGTTTAATTGAAGTCTAATTGGTACTCGATGAATCTTCGGAGGTAGCATTTTTGTGGTGATTTTGAGTTGTTGTGAAAATGCCAAACGGAGAGATTCTGAGCGCGAACTCACAATTAAGCAACAGCTAGTTCCAGTTGCTATGTCATTGTTTACTTCGACTATTACATTAAGATTGGAGTTGTTAGCTTGTGTGAAAATAGATTAATTTCCCCTATCATATCATTTTACGGACACCTATTCTTATCCAATCCAATTAAACCTAATCGAATCTAATCGAATCTAGTATAATCGAATCCTATAAAATCCAATCTAATCTATTCTAATCTAACCTAATTGAGTCTTTTTTGTCAAATTTATTAATCAAAAATAATTTTTTATCCAATTTCCTACTTCAATAATATGGCCATTTTGCTAAGCTTCACCTTCTTGCCTTTGGTTGTAAAAGTAAAATGTTGTTGGGGGACTTTCATTTCGTATGAAAGTGTGTGAATCGCGTTGTATTGCTTTTACACGACGTTAAAGTTGACCCAAAGCTCCACCCGTCTTTAACCGAACCGAGGGAGGAGGTCTCGTGGATTGCGTCAACCGGAAGGTCGTTTCGAAGCAAACCGGCTGCAGAACAACGCGATTCAACCGTCCTCTTTTGGTAAGATCGACCTACGAACCTCTTCTTCATGCACTTTCACACGAAATGAAACTTGCCCCAACAATGTCATGTCGGGAGATTCATTGAACTCCACTTTATGTCGGTATCTAAAACTGAAATAATCAGAAAATCGATGCGTTTAAAAAGATTTCATAATCTGTCCCATTTCTGTATTGTGTTAGACCAATTTTTACCATTGGAAAGTACGTTCTTTACTAGCATTTTGTGTGTGCTAGTATTGACGTTTGTCAGAATTACGTCGGATGTCTTCTACTCCGATCTACACACACACACACAAACAACTGAATGCACCTACACACTCAATCATATAAATACTTAGATTCCCATAACAGAGAGTTATGTATGTATTATATTTATGTGTATATCATATATGCAGCTAAACTTTAAATATTCACATACAGACAGATTGAGATAATATGATTTGGTCAATTCTTTTTTATGTCAATCCAACTACTTAATCATTTTAGTGTGCGTGTGTGTGTGTGTGTGTGTGTGTATGTGTGTATGTATTTGCGTCTTTGCGTGTATAAGAAAGCCTGTCATACATTAAAGT